AATTGATGTTCTAGAAATCAGCATTGTACAACTTCTCATAACTGAGGTGAAGGGCTTAATCATCCTATGTTCATATAAATTCGGATACAGTTAACTCTTTTCAACTAGCTATGCTGGTTAGGTTTTACTATGTATAATTTAAAGATTTGTATGCCACGTTTCTTTTTTTTTCTTCCAGTTAATAACACTCTTTATACAATGTAATTTATTTATCATTCATGAATACATCTCATTGTAATGAATCAAGCAATACAATGAATATAGATAGCGAAATATGAGATTCCCTCTCATACCTTCTCCTCTTCCAGACGAAATAACCACAATTAACAGTTTGGTATGGATTCTTCCAGTCTTCTTTCTATGAATGTACATATGAATAGTGATATATGCATATATTTTTTTCATAAATGAGATCATGCTGTATATATTCTGTTTTTTAAATGTTTTATCACCAGTGTGTCTTACAATGTTCATACATACCAGGATTATGTATATCTTTTGTAAATGGCCCATAGTGTTATATGATATTATTATAATTTGATTATCTGTTTCCCTTTTGTTGGATGTTACTTTGTTTTATTACTGTTAAAAACAGTGTTGCATGAACATCCTGTACACACATCCTTCTGTGCAGAGTTTCCTTTAGAATATATTTCTTACATGTGGGATTGAACACACTGAAAATTTTGATGGCATTCCTAAATGGATTTGCAAGTTTACATTCTCACCAACAGGGAGCAAGATTTTATTTACCTTTACCATTGCTGAAATATTTTAATGGAATAAATATTCCATTCTGATGGTTTAAAAATTATATTTCATGATTTCGAAGTAACATCTGATATCTAGGCTGTTGAGTCTCATTTCCTTTGTTCGTTGGCCATTTGTATTTTTCTATGGATTCCTCTAATTTACCCATTTTTCTTATGGAATATCTTTTAATACTGATTTGTAAGAAATTTTTGAAGTCTATTTTGCATGTGAATCCTTTATTTTAAATGTTGCATATATGTTTTCCCTGTCTGTTACTGGTCTTTAACTTTGCGTCTGGTATCTTGTAGAATGTAGATTTTTCATTTTATGAAAATGTCAGTCATTCTCTTTATGGCCTGTTTTGTGTAGTGTGTAGGGTAACTTTCCCCATGTAGGATTATTTAATTTTTTTTTCTGGTATTTTCTAGTATTGTTTCTTTAACTCCATTTAGAGTTTATTTAAATGGACAACTCAACCCTAATTTTTATAGTCCATTCTTTCCTCACTGATTTGACGCTCCCTTTATCTTAAATCTCTATGTACAGGTTTCCCCAAAAGTAGACTGTTCCTATGAAACCTTTCATAAGCCAAAATGATGTAACATGAAGATACTGTTACCATTAATTTATATAGAAACAATTTTTAGTGTTTCCAGGCCCCTAAAATATTCTCTCTTATGCTTTTTCTGATACGTTAGGATATACTTTGGTAACAGATGCACAAAATAAATCCAGATAAAGCACAGACGCTCACTGACATGGTTCAAAGCTGTGGCAGCTTAATGCTGAGATACTGAGTGCAGTTTCCAGGGAAGGTGCTTCATAGGGTCACCCTCACTGCCCAGGGTGCTGGATGCCTTTGTAATGGCTTACTGCAAAACAAGTGCTGAAAATTTAAAAAAAAAAAATTCTTTTTTGTAAAAGCAGAAATCCTCTTCAGGTTTCTTTTCAGTTAGCAAAAACAGGTACTGATGTTGTGTCTTTTTATGTAAAAGCAAAATGATGTAACTTGAACTTCCAAAAACAGGAGGTATCTGTATTTGCAGATCTATTTTTATGTATAATTCTTCTCTCTTTTTGATATTATTTTTCTCTCTATTTGCTATTACATTTTAGTGTTGCTGTAACCTTACTTTACCCTCTTCTAATTTGTGGCTATTAAGTTATATGTGAACCAGAAATCTACATAAGAGACTGCTGGTATTTTAGATAAAACAGTCTCTAATTGAGGAAATGAAAAATTTGTATGAGATTGATTCATGATTCATGAGTAGAATGTTGCATACTTTAATACATAAAATTTATTATATGTTTTAGTTTCGCAGAGGCTTATTTAGATTTTTTGGTTTCTGTGCTCTTGGTAATATTTTAAATAGTTGATGTTGCTGAATATGCAACCTCTATATAAATATTAATATGTTAAAATTATTTTAAAACAGAAGCTATATTTAAATCACTTTGGTGAACAACTTTATTTCCATCATTTCATGTTAATGTGTGTTAATGAAAGCTCTCTGTTAATTGGGAAACAAAGTAAATATGACCAAGCCCATATTTTGCTTTTAGGTTTTCTTTCCTAACAATACAATAAAGAATAAAATAAAAATGAAAAGAAAATAGGTAATTAACTCTTATTTTAAATCAGCTATGGCTAGATGTTATTATAAGAGTAGCATCTGTTACCATGGATCATCTCTAACTCAAAGTCACCTTGAAAGAAAGCTTTGACCTGCTTTCTACTTTGAAAAAATAACTCCCAGTGGCCTTGGGCAGCTATAGCCTTTATTGTACCTAAATTACTGAGCTTACATGAGGAAAATAAAGTGGCCATCCTTTTTTCACTGAAAAGTCAGTAGAATCCTGCATTATCTATTAAGTTCTAAAGCATGAGAAATAAAGAAGTAGATATATGAATAAAAGTCAAGATTTTGTGTAGTGGTATTTTTTTTAAAACATTATTTTTTTTTAATGTTTTATTTATTTCTAGGAGAAAGAGAGAGAGAGAGAGACAGCGTGAGCAGGGGAGGGTCAGAGAGAGAGGGAGTCACAGACTGAAACAGGCTCCAGGCTCTGAGCTGGCAGTCAGCACAGAGCCAGACGCAGGGCTCAAATCCATGAACCACGAGATCATGACCTGAGCGAAAGTCGGACGCTTAACCGACTAAGCCACCCAGGCACCCCTGTAGTGGTATTTTTTTTCGCATTTGTGTTATTCAAATTAAATGAATAGATTTGACGTGCTCTTTTTGACTTCATTTTATTTTTTTAATTAAAAAATTTTTTAAGTTTATTTTTGAGAGAGAGAGAGACAGAATGTGAGAGGCAGAGAAAGAGAGAGACACAAAATCTGAAGCAGTCTCCAGGCCCTGAGCTGTCAGCACAGAGCCTGATGCAGAGTTGGAACTCAAGAACTGCGAGATCATGACTTGAGTTGAATTCAGACACTTAACCGACTGAGCCACCCAGGTGCCCTTAGAACTTCACTTTAAACTTGGTGTTTCTTAAAGTATCTGTGATACAGAGAATTAGTATATATGTATGTGCTGCATGTTACTCAGGGAAATACTATTTTCTTTTATTCCTGGACAGTCGAATTGTTTAAGGGCTTTTGGAATTGCACTAAGATTTGAAACATCTGAGGGACATAAAATAATCTATTCTTTTTCTAGACATTTCAGGCTTAGGATGCTCAAGAGATACAGAAATAGGATAGTTCTGTATTATGATTAGCATCTGGAGTCTAGTCAAATCTCACTTGGACAAAAAATATACCCTTTTAGGCTTGGGAGGGAGTGGGTTTCCTGAAGCTACATATATCTGTACTTACTAATTAGTACTTACTAATTCAGTAAATTAATAGCTATATGATAGAACTTACAAAGTGGATCCAGCCTGCAGAGACAAATATCAGTTGACCTACACTATATTTTTAAAATATCTAGATTTTTGACTTCTTCTGAAAATTGGAAGATCTGACAACCGTAACCATCTATCACCACAGGGCAGCAACTAGCTAGATAGGCATATGCTCTCACTTGCCAGAATCCATGCCACTCCTTATCCTGAAAATGTCAGTTGCCATTTATCACGACACTTGCACAGTCACCCATTTACTGAACCCACTTATGTTCATACCCAGCATCTGTAGCCTTAAAATATCTAATTTATAACTATCAGTCTATATTTTTCTATACTGGTGCAACTGAGTGTAAATGAGTAGCAATTTAATATAGTGGGAACAACCAATTCATTATTTTCCAGGAACATATTGCACATTCGTGTCTTCATTTTTGTTCCTTTTTTAATTCCTTGAAATATTTACTCTTGCTGCATCCTCTTCATTTTCATCCCCCAACACCTTGACTCTTCCTTAATCACCTGTCTCCAGTAGTGTCTTCCTCCCCTGAAGTCTTAGAATAGTTATTTTCTCCACCACTGTAAATTTATCATAGCAGAGATTTAGAGAGTCTCATCCAGTTAAAAAATGGCTACATTCCTATGAAGAGGCCTTTCAGTATTTTCTTAATATGGTTCACAGTTCACTGTTGTCATTTTGAAGACTAAGAAAGTAGTAAGTTTAAATTTTATTTCCCTAGTGTATTTTTTAAAGTTTATGTATTTATTTTTTAAAGTTTATTTATTTGAGAGAGACATAGCACAAGTGGGGGTGGAGTAGAGGAAGAAGAAGAAGAGAGAGAGAGAGAGAGAGAGAGAACGAACGAACCCCGAGTAGGCTCCACACTGCCAGCCACAGAGCCTGGTGCGAGGTTCAAACTCATGAAACTGAGATCATGACCTGAACCAAAACCAAGAGTCTGATATTTAACTGACTGAGCCTCGTGCTCCTTTATTTATTTTTGAGAGAGAGAGAGTGAAAAAGAGATAGAGTGCTTACCCAAGTGGCAGAGGGTCAGAGAGAAAGGGAGAGAGAATCCCAAGCAGGCTCTGTTCCATGCTAGGGTAGAGCCCAACTCGGGGCTCAATCCCAGGGACCTTAAGATCATACCTTGAGCTGAAACCAAGAGTCGGAGGCTTAAGTGACTGAGCCACCCAGGTGCCTGTTTTGTTTTTGTTTTTCAAGAGGCTTCACGCCCAGCATGGAGCCCAATGAGGGGCTTGAATTTATAACCCTGAGATCAAGACCTGAGCTGAACTTAAGAGCCCAATGCTTACCCAGGCACCCTTTCCCTAGCTTTCTTAATTGACCTTTGGACATTAAATTTAAATATTGTTTTCCTTGCTTTCAGTTACAGATGAGGACACAGTAAAGAGGTATTTTGCCAAGTTTGAAGAAAAATTTTTCCAAACCTGTGAAAAAGAACTTGCCAAAATCAACACATTTTATTCAGGTGAGTAGTTTTTTGCTACAACATAGAAGAGACAATTTCTGCTATTAGGAAAGAGAAGCTCTGCATGTCATTGTTTAACCTTCTGATTATTATTTTAAAATTGGGGCTTGTTTTTCCTCCTATACTGCATTTAGGGATATTTTCTATTGCTGAGGTAGGAACATATCTAGTACTTCAGTATTTAAGCTTCATATGGTCATTGACTAGATTCTTTTGCAGTTGCAGGGATTTGGGGACCTCCTTGTGAACCAGTACCTTGATTGAGTTTCACTAAAGTCCAGTCTAAAGCTTTGAAGAGTCAGAAATTTGATTTTATCAGAGCTAAATTACACAGTTCCTGGTTATTAACTACATTTCTTTGTCTTTCCCTTGTATGGAATACTCATTTCTATTTCTCTAGAGCATTGTACCCAGAGTGGCATCTACAAGATGCTATTGGAGTTGTGGAGAAAATACTAGAACTTTATTTATATCTGACCCTTTAAAATTCTGTTTTTTATATATGTTTACTCCTCTAGTTTTTTAACCTCTGTTTTTTCATCTCACAGAGCTCAAGTTTCTTGACTCCTTCATCTATTCCAGTTGATAGGGCCCCTCCCAGAATTACTTCCCTCTCTATTAGTCATCTTAACTACTTTGTCCCTGTGCTTTTTAATCCTTTTACCTTCATTGCTTTGTATTGTTTCTGCTTAGCAGAATTATAGCCTGAACCATTTCAGACTTTCTTTCTCCATGCCTATCCCCTGGCTGCTTAGGATAGCTAGGGAAAAAAAATCACATGCCAGAACAAATTTGAACCAGTATAAATTCACTGTTACACTCTTAACTGTGTCCTCAAAGCTGCCTGCCCACTGGTCCTATCAGTGCCCTTTTCCATGCTCCAAAGTGTTTTTCTAGATCCAATTTCATTGTCTTGAATTTTCTGACCCCACCATCTTCTCCATCATGCTCATTAATTATGTCTCTTTCTTTACAAATAAAAATAAAGGCCTTCAGCTCCTGTTGGTGTATAATACTTAGGCAGACTTAGGCCACCCCTCCCCCTAAATACTTGTTGACATTCTTACCCTTATTTATTTTCCTCCGGTCTTTTTGGAACAGATATCCCTCTTCAGTCCATGACAAATCTCTACAACTACTGACTGAATTTTAGCCCCTCAAGACTTGTGCCAGTAATTATTCCTTTTAAGAGTTAGTAAATAAGTGCACCGATTTCCCTTTTTACTGGTTTAGTCTCCTTAGCAAGTCACTCCCTTTTAGCAAAAAAGAAACAAAAAAAGAAGCAAATGCCTTAGTTCTCCTTATCTCTCCCTTATGGCTAGACTTCCTAGGCAAGGAGAGCAGTTTATGCAGAGACACAGAGTCATGAAAGGGCACAGCGTATATGCATGTCCTTTGCACTACATTCTAAGTACTTAGAATGCAGAGACAAAATAGAAATATTATTTGAAACTGTGCCATGTATAGATTTTCAGCAAGGGAAAAAAATGTACAGAGAAATTGCAGTGTGCAAGAACAGAGATAATTTCCACAATTAAGAGTAGGAGTGAAAGAGGAACTAGCAGTGTAGACAGAGAAGGAGAGGGTGGCATGTAATGAAGAATGAAGAGGAAGCTAAGAGGAAAGCATTTGTAGGGGAAAGAGTGTTTAGACCAAGAAAAGGCTATAGGATATGATGTAAGGCTGTAAATGAAAAATTTGAAGGTCACGTTTATTAGGAGTTTTTTGGTGGGTGGAACAATCTCTGAGCCCAATTCTACATGGATTATTTAGATCACAAAGAGTAGATAAAGCTTATTGGTATACAAAGAAAAAAAAATGCTGTTAATAAGAGATACATACTTTTTACATGTTGAGTTATAGTACCATCTAGATACAAATTTGACCCATTACGCCTAGTCAGATATGTGTGTTTTATGTATCTGTGCATCTGTATATGTGTATATGCAGTATATATAAATAATTGATAGTTTTTCATGGAATAATATCCTTACTATATATAGTATATATTCTGTTTTCTATATTTAATTATTTCTATTTGACTTATAAAATGCTCATTTATGATCCACACAATTGCTTTTATGGCCCCATATTGAGTTATAACACTAGTTTGATAAATGTTATTTTAAATTTCATTATTTTTCGAAAATAATTTTAGGCTTTCTACTACTAAAACTTTGGAGGCTGTGATTAAATGACTTCCTTTTTCCTAGTATATTGGCAGGGCCTGTAGGGCATGTCTCCTGAAGTCACCACAGAGTAGGTACAAATTGATAGTCTTCAGACTGACTTTTTGCCAGCTCAGGAAGTGATGGGTAATATGAAGACATGATTGACAGAAATAGAATTTGGCACTTGTTCTAGACGGTATCATTTTTCTCCTTATTTAGCCACCTACTCCATGGCAGATCGTCTTATAGACAGCAATCCTTAGAGACTAGGGCACAGAAAAACTATAAATAACTAAAATAACAAGAATGAGTTCAGCTTATGAACCTATCTCCACCACTTATATCTCACAAATTATTGAATGGTCAGCCAGTAATGGTTACTTTTAAGTGAGATATAGTCTTGACTAAAAGTATTAAGTACCCTAAATAAAGCATAGAATGGATACTACTAAAATGTACGTATTTATTTTCATACTAGTTCTGTTACCTACCAGTCACATTTTGGATTTTTGAACCTTACTATTTTGTTTAGAAGTTTACCATTTAACCTTCTTAGGCTTCCATGTACCTTCTTGTAAAATGAGCAAAGAGCTCCACTTCTGATGAGTCAGAAACTATTAACAATAGTTTGATGTCAGTCATTGTATTGCTCTTTATTTATATTAATATACAAAATCTTTAAATATTTGAAGACTGTGGGTGGAAAGGGAGGTTTTTTTTAAAGGAAGGCTCTTTTTTGGTGATAACATTGCTAATTACGGAAGTCTCCTAGATCACTTCTAGTATTAAACCTGGCATCAATCCTGGAGGCTATAGTGTCGGAAACCTTTTTCTGTGGTGATTGGTAATATCCTTTTCCATCAGTAACGTTAATGACTTCATGTTATAATATCTTTCTCTTTGAACCAGTTTGCTTTCTCTCCATTCAAAATACTTAACTTCTAAGTAGTGCTTTTATGTGCCTACATAAAAACAAAATGTTAGAATGTGTCTGTTGCTTTTAATACTCCCTTATTAAAACAGGCGAGCCTTTTTTGTTGTTGTTGTTGGAATGTTTTTTTTTTTTTTAATGTTTACTTATTTTGAGAGAGTTCTGCAAGCAAGAGCAGGGAAGGGGCAGAGAGAGAGGAGAGTGAGCATCACAAGCAGGCTCCACCTGTCAGCGCAGAGCCCAACACAGGGCTTGAACTCATGAAACCATGAGATCATAACCTACTGAGCCACCCAGGCACTCCGGTTGCAATGTTTTAAATAGCTAAGAGCTTCTTCCTTTGTTTCTAAACAATGTTTTTTCTGACCTGTCCTAATTTTTAGGCTTCTGAAAATATTTTATATTCACGAAATAAATCTGTTTCTAATGCCATAATTTTCATACTTAAAAATAACACTACTGCAGTTTCCTTCCCTCCTACCTTCCCTCATTCCCTCGCTCTTTTTTGGTAAAGAAAGGAAAAGCTCATAACACTGCTGTGAATTCAGGATAATTGCAAAGTACTGTGGAAACTGACATGAACCATTGATTTTGCTTGGAGGAAAAGAGAGGGATTGAGGAAATACCTACAGAAGAAGTAAAATTTAAATTGGATCTTTGGAAATGTGTAGGCATTTCCACATGCTTTTGGAGGAGCATATTGAGGATAACAGTCAGAAAGGAGTTGGAGTGCAGTTTCCAGGGAAACACCTGCATCGTGACATCAAAGTACATGACATATTTGGGAGTGAAGAGCATAACAAATAGTCTGCTGAGGCTGGAGTTGTTTTATTCACACATGAAAATTTTAGATTTCAGTATCTGAGGTGTAACAATCTCAGGTAATAAGAATTCCAGATAAAAGCAGAACAAAAATTTCATGTAGTATATCAAAATTAACTATCCTGAATCATCTAGGATGGGTCAGCCTTCTTACACATTTTGTATTTCAGATAATACTGACGTCCATAAATTGAATTAGCAAGATCATAACATTGCAAGATAAGTATACAAAAAATAAAAGTATTGTAAAACACCAACTTTATTTTATCAACATTGAGTCACATAACTATAATAACTTTGTTATTCTGAAGATAGCTTATAGTTCTGAAATAACTTTTTTTTTAAAGTAAAATATATATAAATTTGGTGAAAACTAAAAAAAAATTTTTGTTGGAGTGCCTGGGTGGCTCAGTCAGTTGAGCGTCCAACTCTTGATTTTAGCCCAGGTCATGAGCTCATGGTTCGTGAAATCGAGCCCGTGTCAGGCTCTGCCTCTGACAGCTCAGAGCCTGCTTGAGATTTTCTCTGGACTTTCTCTCCCTGCTTGCACGTGTACTCTCTATCTTTCAAAATAGACAAACTTAAGTAAGATTTCGTTAACCCTATAGCTCTTTAGGCAACATATAGGTGCTTTGAAAGTTTTTGAATGGTTATTGGAAATTTTTATCAACATTTTATTATCTGAGAGCTTATGGCATTAAGTATATATTCTTAAAATAATCTGTTCTCATTCATTCAGTTGATTTACTGGAATGAGTAGAGATTGGAATTTATTGCCAAGATAGTCTATTTTTATCAGTAGTTATAAAATTACATAGAAATATTCATTTTTATTTTTTAAAAGTATTTGTAGATTTTAATTCATACACCAAAGTACATTTTTATGTACACATATACCTTTTTCCAGGATCTGTGCTATACCATCTATTTGAGCTTTATGGAGACCCAACTCTAGAAAACTGTGGTGTCATTGAAAAATAGATTTGGACACTTGTTGTCAACAGCAGTGTTTCCATCCCTTTTAAACCTGTTGATAAGTATTAAGCACTTTTTCTAAGTGTAACACCATGACTATG